TTTAAGGGAAAGGATTATTTCATTGACATCAGTGGAACTAGTAGGCTTTAGGTCGTCGCCGCCGGCACATCGCCGCCGGCACATCGCCGCAGGCAGACGATTGAGTCTTTTCTTTTGTTTCGGAAGGCAAGTGCGGTGGCCCGTAGGACCATCCGTGCGGCTAAGCGTGCTTGCTGGGCGTCTTATGTCTCCGCCGTTACGTCCGAAACTCCTCTCCCACTGGTCTGGTAGCGTATCCGCAAGATTGCAGGTAAGTTTGTTCCCGATGTCTCACAGGTCCTTTGCCTCCATGGTGCTCTTGTGGCGGACCCGTTGCAGGTTGTGACCTAACTGGGTTCCCATTTCTCCTCTGTTAGTTCTGGTTCTCATCTCCCCCAATCCTTCCTTTTTCGTAAGCCTCTTCTTGAATCTCATCCTTTAAATTTCTGTACTTATCTTCACCTTCCCTATAATGATCCCTTCTCTCTCTGAGTTTTAGTCTGCCCTGGCCCTTTGCGGTTCTCCGACATCGAGCTCCGATGGCATTCATTATGAAATGCTTCGCCATCTACCTCCAAGCACGTCTCAGTATTTACTGAGTCTGTACAATCGGGTCTGGGAGCCGTCGTCAGTCCCTGAAGACTGGCTCGATGCTGTTGTCCTCCCTGTTCGGAAACCAGAGTCTCTCGGGTCATCCCCCAAGGACTTCCGCCCTATTGCCCTCACGAGTTGTGTCTGCAAGCTCTTTGAACGTATGGTTAACGTTCGTTTGATGTGGTTCCTGGAACACTATCACCTCCTCTCCCCTTCTCAATTTGGTTTTCGCAAGTGCCGCAGCACGACTGATGTCCTGGTGAACTTGGAGGTCTATATCCGTACTGCTTTTGCTGCGAAGACCTCCGTTGTTGCCGTCCTTTTTGACCTGGAAAAGGCTTACGACACTATCTGGCGGTATCATATTCTATCTCAACTTCATTCTTTTGGCCTTCGTGGGAACCTCCCTCTCTTCCTCCAGAGCTTCCTCTCTCGTCGTTCCTTTCGTGTGCGGCTTGGTACTGCTCTCTCTGCCCCTTTTCAGCAGTATGAGGGTGTACCCCAGGGTAGTGTTCTGAGCACTACTCTTTTTCTAGTTGCCCTCAACGGTCTTTCTCTCCCCTCTTCCTTCTGGCGTCTTCTCTGCTCTCTATGTTGATGATCTTACCCTTTGCTGTCGGGGTGATGATTCGCCTCTCCTTCAACGCCGGCTTCAACTTGCGATTGATGCTGTGTCGTCTTGGCCCACCGATCATGGCTTCAAGTTCTCTGCGTCCTAAGACTTGTGCCATGACTTTTACTCGGAAGCATGTCGTTCTTCGTCCCTCTTTGTCGCTTTATGGTCATCCCCTTGTGTACAGGGATTCCGCTAAGCTTTTGGGGTTTGTCTTTGACACTCGTTTGTCTTGGTCAGCCCATATCTCTTACCTCCGAGTTGAATGCTCTAAGGTCCTTAACCTACTTAAGGTTTTGTCCCATACTTCTTGGGGAGCGGATAGGCGCACGTTCCTCTATTTGCACTCCTCTCTCGTCCTGTCTAAACTCGATTATGGTTGCCCTGCATACTCTTCTGCTTCTCCTTCTACTCTTCGCCGTCTTGATGCTTTGCACCATACTGGGTTGCGTCTCGACTCTGGTGCCTTTCGTTCAACTCCCGCCCTCAATTTGTATGTTGACACTGGCTTTCTCTCTTCAGGACCGCCGTGATCGCTACCGTGTTCGCTATCTTGTGCAGTCCTTACAACATCCTTCCTCTCGCCTCTGTCGTGCTTTGACTTTTCCTCCTCCTGTGGCTCCTGTTCCTCTTCATCGTCTCCCACTTTCTGTCCGGTTATCTCGCTTACAGGATTCTCTTTCTGTTCATATTTCTAATGTTTCTCCCCATATTGTTCCTTCCTTGCCTCCGTGGAGAGTCCCCCTTCCCAAGTTTTGTACGTCCTTGACTTGTATTCCTAAAGCCTTTGCCCTTCCTACAATTCTGAAAAGCCTCTTCCTTGAGCACTTTTCTTTGCACTCCCACTCTATTTCCATCTTCACCGATGGGTCTAAGTCTGCGGACGGTGTGGGCTGCTGTTGTTTTTCCTGACCGTACTTATATGTGTCGCCTCCCTTCGGAGGCTAGCGTCTTTACAGCAGAACTTTATTCTATTCTCTATGCTCTCCGTCTCTTGCTTTCTCATTCTCATTCCTCCTCTGTGGTTGTAGTTGACTCTTGTAGTGCCCTCATGGCTCTCGGGTCCTTTAATCCTGTCCATCCGGTGGTCATCGAGATTCAACATTGGTTGTTTCTTATTTCTAGTAAATTTAAATCAGGAGTTTTGCTGGGTTCCCAGCCAAGTTGGTGTTTCTTTTCAATGAGCGTGCAGATGCTGCCGCTAAGGAAGCTATCCGTTCTGGTCCCATCTCCCGTAAAGGTATTCCTTATTCCGACTTTTATCCTGTTATTCATTCCTCCATCCTTGCCCGTTTGCAGGGTTGTTGGTCCTCTGTGGTTAGTAACAAGCTGCGTACTCTCAAACGTAGTGTGTCCCCGTGGCCTTTCTCCTACCACCATAACCGGCGGTGGGAAACTGCTTTGGCACGGCTGCGGGTTGGCCGTATACTCGCTTAACCCACGGTCACTTAATGGAGCGCCGCCCTGCTCCTTATTGTCCGAATTGCGTTGCCCCTCTTACAGTTGTGCATATCCTTGTTGAATATCCTGACTTCCAGGACGAGTGTGTCTTGCTTTCCGGCCGTCCCTCGCAGTCACTTGTCCCTCGATAGAATTCTAGGTGAACCGGATACCTTTGATATCGTTCGCCTTATGCGTTTTTGTTCTCGTATTGGCATTCTTGGTGATATTTAGCGCCCTCTGATTATTTCGCACTTTGATGGTGCTACATAGCCTTCCCAGTTTGGTGCCTTCTTTGATAATTACCTTACCTTTACCAATTGCTTTGAAATTTTGACACAACGTTGCATTCGAATAGGCGCATATTTTTATATACCTACTATATACATGCCTCACCTATGACAGGAAAAAACATGCTATTTTTGAAAAACAACGCCATGTGTTGGACGTAAGAGCAACACACGCTGTAATCTCCAAAAGTTCTTCACCGATTGTTTTGAAATTCTGACACACCGTTCCATTCAATTATGCACGTTTTTATATACCTACTATATAGATGCCACGCACATCTGTGACAGATAAAACTTTTTTTTTTTTTATACAGTGCCATCTGTTGCATGTAATAGCAAGACACTTACAATACTAAATATGTTACAAATTCCATTTCAATGTTTCCGATTGCATTGATAAATTTAATTTTCATAGATTTTGATTTATTTTAATTTGTATTGAATTATTTTATGTGGCATTGTGTTGGAATTGAGCTGTGTGGATTTCCATACCGTTCATTTCATAAGTACAAGTATAAATGCCACACCTGTGACAGGTAATTTTTTTTTTTTTTTTTTTTTTTTTTTTCTTTAAGAAATAGCGCCATCTGTTGCACGTAAGAGCCACACACACTATCCTAAATATGTTACGATTCCTTTTCAATGTCTTTGATTGCATTGACAAATTAAATTTTCATACATTTCGATTTATTTTCATTTTGATTTAATTATTTTGTGTGACATTGCATTGAAACTGTGCTATGTTGTTTACCATACCTTTCATTTCATGTGTAGTTTACTTTTTAATTTTTCATTGCATTTTTTAATTGTTTTTCTTATATTTTAGTGATGGGAACATCAGATCATTTGATGTTCCAAATTTTCTGATGGGAACATCAGATCATATGGGAATACATCAGACGAGGAAGTTGGGAATAGTGGGGAGGACGAGGGGGGCGGGTGTGGGGGATAGTACTGAGGACAACGGGACAGGGGACGGGGTAATGGTGGGGAAAACGAGGGGACGGGGTAATGGTGGGGAAAACGAGGGGACGGGGGAATGGAGAATGGTGGAAAGGACAAGGGGACAGGAGAGTGGGAGAATGATAGGGAGGACGAGGGGATGGGGGAGTGGGAAATGGAGACGACAAGGGGACGGTGGAGTGGGGAATGGTTAGGAGAACGAGGGGACGGTGGGGAGGACACAGGGATGGGGGATTGAGGAAATGGTGGGGAGGACGAGGGGACGGGAGAGTGGGGAATGGTTGGGAGAACAAAAGGACGAGGGAGTAGGGAATGGTTAGGAGGACGAGGGGTAATGGTGGTGAGGACTAAGAGACAGGGGGAAATGTTGCTGTGACCGTGCTGAGCCACAGCAACGCGTGGCTGGGTACAGCTAGTATTTAAATAATATGCAGTAAATGTGCGCCTTAATTATTGAAATGTCAAGTGATAGTTTATATAATAGATCTTTAATCAAGTGAAATTATTTTATAATAATGTTTTGGTATATATCTCTACAGCTTAGATATAATTACAAAAAAGGATAGAAGAAAAAAATAGCAGCAGTAGTGGTGTCAATCTCTGCCCGAAACGCTGCGCGTACTAGTGGCTTTACAAGATTGTAAATACTATGCTATGTATTCTCTCTAACCCAATGTATTTTCTTGTATATATATAAATTAATAAATAAATAAATAAATCTCCGTTCAGTCTCCGTGGTGTAGTGGTAAGACACTCGCCTGGCGTTCCGCGAGCGCTATGTCATGGGTTCGTATCCTGGCCGGGGAGGATTTACTGGGCGCAATTCCTTAACTGTAGCCTCTGTTTAACGCAACAGTAAAATGTGTATTTGGATGAAAAAACGATTCTTCGCGGCAGGGGATCGTATTCCAGGGACCATAGGATTAAGGACTTGCCCGAAACGCTACGCGTACTAGTGGCTCTACAAGAATGTAACAACTCTTGTATATATCTCAAAAAAAAAAATAAAATAAAAAAATAAAATAAATAAATCAATAAATCAAGGATCGTGACGTCATGGTTTGTCGAGAACGACCCGCCACAAGATCCGGATTGTTAGCTCGTCTTCACGAACCTGTCTCAGGTTAGTGTTTGTGTTTGAGTGGTGGCGGCGAGAGTGCTGACACTCTCTCCTGAAATTCTTCACTTGCAACACGACAGTGACTGATTTTATCGGTCGCTATGTGTATTGGCGATAGGCAAGGTGAGGCTTTGATATAGTGGGGCGTGTCGGGAGGTAAAGCCATATATATATATATATATAGGCTAGGGCTATGTGGTGAGTTGAACCGAGAGGCACCAACAGTAGTGGCTTCGACGAGGACAGGGAGCCGGCGGCTTGTTGAAGTCCCCCCCCCCTCTTTCCTCCCATTGGGCTTCAATATCTTGTTGGGTTACTGTACTAGGCGGATTGAGCTTTGGCTCTCGAGTCCCACCTCTTGACTTTCAACTAATTTTTGTTTTTGTATTTATTTATTTAATTTTTTTTTTAGATACAAGAGTTGTTAGTCTTGTACAGGCACTAGTATGTGTAGCGTTTCAGGCAAGTCCTTAATCCTATGTTCCTTGGAATACGACCCCCATGAAGGATAGTTTTTACAACAAAGTACACATTTTACTGTTAAGTTTAACAGAGGCTATAATAAAGGATTTATGCCCAGTAAATCCTCCCCGGCCAGGATTTGAACCCATGACAAAGCGCTCGTGAAACGCCAGGCGAGTGTCTTGACCACTATACCACGGAGACTGGTATGACAATGTGTCGGGATGGTTTTATCCGGTTCCAGCTGAATTGCGTTCCAGAACATTTCGTTTATAGATAGAATGTGTTGTGGTGAACTTTAAGTTTATTGAGATGATAATGTTCATTCAATATTAAATGATAAAGTTTGTTATTTGTACTGACCTCTATTAGAGGTGGATGTTCAATGAAGGGGCCGGGGCATTACAGGACAGATCACATAATGGCTTCCAGCAGACCGTGTTTGAATTTAAAGAAACTGGGAGTTGTTGGTCATTGTGAGGGGGAGGTTGACAAATAAAAATGTTTTGGGGTATAGGAACCCACCCCACACTACATAAATATTGAATTATCATTTAAAGTGTCACGTACAGCTTGTATATTGATGTATATTTGGTTCCAACAATTGTATTTCCATGTTTTACGTTTCATTTATATCAAATCTGTCTTTAATAGATACTGGTACCTGGGGTTCTGGGAGTTGTTCCACTCAAAGCCCAGCCTTGACTTGGGAAAGCTTGGTCGACCAGGCTGTTGCAGTCTGCATATACCTGCTTGATGGGGTTCTGGGAGTTGTTCTACTCCCTGAGGCCAGGCTTGACTTGAGTTTGGTCCACCAGGCTGTTACGGCCCACAGCCCGGTACATCTTTTAGTATTAAATTATAGAAAATATCTTTAATTGGTTTTAGTGATTTGTGAACACGTTATCACTTTTATAATTTAATTCAGGTTGTGCAACAGGTGCCCCAATCAGCCGTCCTCTGACTTGAGGTGCATGCTCTACCAAGTGTATTATGGATTGTCCTTAAAGACCGGAAGAATACAAGGCAGGCAACTGTTGGCAATCTCCGTGGCTACCACTCGAGTACAAGGAATACCGTGGCGTAAGTCATATAAACTGTTGTTCATGTGGGTTGCGATTATTCAAGGCAGAGGCACCTAGTGGCCAAGGTGAATGAAATGTTATGTCCGTTAATGTTGTATAAAGTTATAATTTTTAATGTAACTACAGTATTAATATGCATGCTGTAATAACATGGGGGGGGAAAAAAGTGCAAAATTTTAAATGCAATTATAAGATTGTTGTTGCAATTGTGAATTGAATAAGACAACAGAATATATTAGTGAAATTAATATAGAAAGGGACACATTCAACAAAGGTTTTGTTTAATAAAACCATGAAGGTAATGCAAAAGTATCTTTGATTAGTGTCTAATTGCTATTTAATAATTGTTAAAATATGACTGGCTAAATAATATTTATGTAAAAGTTGAAAAATAATTTTTTTTGTATTAAACTTTGAGTATTGTACAATGTCTTGCGTGAATATGAAGTGTACAGTACTTTGATGCAAATATCGGAAAACAGACCGATTTAAAAAATAAATTAGTACTGTACCTCAATATAGAGCAAAGTACAAGAATACTGTTTTCCCAGCAGACAACAATGATGTTACCTGGGTACTAATTAATGGAATGAATTATAAGTAATATACTGTATAGTGAAAGTTTTACCAACCCCATCAGTGTTGTGGGTAAGCAATTGACATTCTAAGTGTACTGTAGCTATATATCAAATGTTATTTGCCGTTTGTGAACTTATTACATTACAATGTTTACAATTTGCTTTATTTCCAAGCTATAAATTAGTAGAAAGACTTTAATTGTCTAACTTTACAGTATTAAGAAGAAGAAATAGGTTTATAGATACATGCTGAAAAAAGCAGAGAATAAATATAAATTTAAAATCATGAAATACTGTACTGTACTTGTAAAATAAATAAACGAAGCTTAATTTAATGTACAGCATACTTCAAATACAGTAATAATGAAATAATTTCATGTATCTTTAATTGAGGTGGTTGCTGTGCTGTCTCCCCCTCCACACATTTTAGCCAATAGCCTCAAATTTAGTAAAAATGGTAGTGAAAGTATGAAGTACTATTAATTTAGTACTGTATATTTTTCAGGAATTTAAAAAGTCGGTTATGAACTTTGTAATAAATATCGGGGGGGGGGGGTCAATGAGAATCCCCTCCCTTCACCCCCCCCCCCCAGATCTTGGTAAGAAAATTCATGAGTCGTATATATATGTTCATGAAGTTTCAGGATCATATGGTGAATAATGATTTTACTTAACCTCAAGGTAAGGTAAGGTACTTGATCTGTTCTGGAATGGATATGTTCACAAATTATAAGATTTGGCATAATTAGTTTTCCATGAGTTATTGCATAGTTCATAAATGAAGTATTAAAAAGTGATTTTTAGTGCAAATTGTTTGAAGCTCGTATATAAAAATGATCTTGTACAAAACCTATATATCACATTCAGTCGAGTTTGATGTGGTACACAACTTAATTTCTATAGTGATGAAGCATTTTGCACTCTAGTGCATAGTGACTACCATATAATTTGCATTTGTCATGTACATCAGAATGTGGTGACCAGTTGGTAGGCTTCAAAAAGCTGTTGTCTGCAATCTCCTTGATGTCGTCAATGGTAAATTTTCCTTATTGCACTGTTTGATTTTATTTTGTTTCTGATAGATAATCAATTGTGAGCAGAGCTTACTAGTCATATTTGAAAAGCATCTAGTGAAATCTAAAGAAGTTATAATAGTACAAGTTAATATAGTAACAACTTGTTATAATAGTTATTGTTAGCCAATTGTTTTGGATGTTTTCTGGTGGTGAGACAAAAATAGGCACTACTGAAAAGTAATTTCAGTTATATATTCTGCAGTGTCCACTGAACCATGGCAGAACAGAAAAGGAAAATGGCAATATGTCCCAAGTTGAAGTGCAGTTATTGGAGAACGATGTTGTATCCAGAGAGTGAGAAACCAGACATGAGTCGCCTGCGGGCTGGGGATTCTTCACCTGCTGTATGAACGTGCCTGTGCCTTGGTGTTCATCGCAGATCTCTGCAGTCAGTAGGAAAAGTAAGTGCTTCTTTGAGTACTGTAGCATTAGAGAAGTTCCCTTTTATATAATACTGAGTAGCTCATTTGTTTATCACAGAAGTGGCTGTCCAATTGCAAATGAAAATAATTGTTGCACATTTAAGTATTAGGCTATTGAGCACAGAAGGTGATTGAATATAAAGTAGCTTTTACAGTGGTAACCAGTACGTGCTGTTCTACTGCCCAAGGCCAGGCTAGGCTTGATTTGAGAAGTTGGTACAGTAGGCAGCTGTTGCTTGGAGTGGGCTGCAGGGCCACATACCCATGACAGCCTGGTTGGTCCTGCAGTTGTTTTAGAAAAGAATGAAATTTAGTCCTCAATATTTCCACCCTGTATTTTCTTGTACATGATTTACTTTTAATTGATGGGAATAGGATTGAAGCTTGGGCAGAACAGAAACATTTCATGTCACCTGATAGCTTCCCCCCTCACGTTCATCCAGAAGTGTTGTAGTTTGCATCCTGGGTAAGGTCAGTAGTTGATTTTGGGGGATGTTGATGAGTGAAAGTACAGTATAGCTTTCGTGTCCTTGAGAATGTAAATTATATGGGTATGGCTAGTGGTATAATGAATGAAACACAGAAGCTAGAGAGGAAGGGGGGAACAGAAGGGTGAAGAACAGGGAATACCAAGACCCAAGGAGAGGAGGATCATGTTAGGCCTGAGTCACACCAAGGGTAGAAGCAAAGTGGGTACAAGATCGTTGGGGTGCAGGGCACCTACTGGCTCTTGCTGCTACACTAGGTAGCCTGTATGTGGTCATTGCTTGCCCTGTTGCTATTGTGGATATTTGTGTTGGCCATTGGCGTTTCAGTATGTGGTTTAATGTTGTCGTTTAACTTTGGGAGGCTAGCCTCCTTGAGAATCAGATTGACAGTGTGCATACATCTAACTTCATTATCACGATGAAATGAAGTAATAAGTGGAGCAGGAAAGAACTGGTTGAGACATGTTTTATGATCCCATCAATAATCATGTTCGGAAAGAAAGGAAGATTGTCAGATTGTATAGGAAAAGTGGAAGAGCTTGTTGACATAATAGGAAAATGTTTGATTGAAGCAACAGATAGCTGTTGGGCTGATTACATGAGGAAAAAGTTAAGGAGTTAGTGGGGGTCATTGAAAAAGCGTGTGAGGTTGCATTAAGGAAAGATACAGAATTGCTCAGAAATAGCTGTCTTGAAAGCCTTTGTTGGTAGGAAAGCATGTTTAAAAAGAAATGATGGGTTCAGAAGTAAATTTTTGTGAGAAATGGCAAAATTTTGCCATCATAAGCCTCTCAAATATTGTTGGGTGAAGGGATGAGTGAATAAGTGTCAAATCAGAGAAAGTTTAGTTGAGTAAATATATATATATTTTTTTTTTTTAAGTAAAGAGGAAGGAGAGGCATAGGTGAAGGGAAGTATAGAAGTGGGAAATACAGCAAGAGGTATGAAAGCAGGCGGACTGTCCGCCTTGCTGACACGATGTGTGGGTGTTGGCAGCTAAGCTAAGCTGGCTCCCTCTTGTCAGGGAGCTGTGAGTGTGTGAGAGGTTCTTCACATGTGTTTCACCACATATGGATGTCTATAGATGAATACTGTGTAGCATTCATATATACACACTCCCTGATGCTTCCACACATGTTGTTCTGTTTAAGGCTCTTTATTTTATTATTATTTATCGAGTTGCTCATACATACACACACATACTCACACATATACATATATATACACACACACACGTACATGTACCCCTATACATATGCATATACATAACTATACACATACATACACACATACATACTCAATTTTTCAATTATGGGGGAAGGATATCTGGTTAGTATATCATCTGGGAATTATGTACTGTGGGGTTGGGTTATCATCTAGTGCAGGGGTCTCCAAACTATGGCCCACGGGCCACATCCGGCCCGCCACATAATTTCATCCGGCCCTCCAAACAAATCCCTGTGTGGTGGCCTTGAAAAAATAATGCTGAAAATCTTCCAACTCAATTTCAAATGGAAATTATTGATCTCCAGGCAGATGACAGACTGAAAGATAAGTATAGAGAAGGAAATCTGATTGAGTTTTATTAATGCCTGCAGCCAGATCAGTTTCCAAATTTGATAAAGTTTGCTTGTAGTTTTGTGTCCATTTTTGGTTCAACATACTTGTGTGAACAAACTTTTTCCAAAATGAAGTACAGTATGTGAAATCTAACTATCGAGCAAATTTGTCTGATGATCACTTGAAATCAATTCTTACAATTGGCTCATCTAATCTGGAACCTGATTTTAATGAAATTTTGAAGTCAAAACGACAGTATCATTCGTCACACTAATTTGGTTGCATAAAACTAAAGGCAGGAATCTATTTAGTTTACCCTGATTTTTTCCAAAAAGATATGTTTTAATTTTTCCATGTTTATACTTTAATATTCGAGGAAATTAAATTACTGGCACTGATTTTTTTTTTTTTTTTCATTTTTTATTCCTCCGGACCGCATAAATATGGGAAATATATAATGTGGCGCTTACATTGAAAAGTTTGGAGACCCCTGATCTAGTGAATCGAGGCTCTTGGGCCACCAGCTGTGGGAGCGGGGCATCACATCTTGGAGCAATCTTTCTAACATCGGGTCCTCTAACATTTCGATGGTGTTCCACACCCTGATGGTAAATGTTATAATGAAATTGATGACAGTACAGATGTAAGTGAATTGGCACAATTTGCAAATTTGATACACAGTGATGAAAGTACGGTAGCAACTGATGAATTTAATGTAGTAAAAGGCTAAATAACAGGTCATGATATTTTTGGAAGTTTAGTAAGAGTGCTTGAGAGAATGAGTTGATTGGATAGAAGGTGTTCGTTAGGTTGGAACCCAAATTTGCTGGGCACTTGTAGGGAAATAGATAACGACAGTGAAAATTAATTTAATCTTGAGTACTACTGCCCCCCTGTAGAATTAGCAAAGCTTCCATGGAACCTGAACAAGTTTTACACACAATCTATTGCACTGTGAGTCGAGAACTACCCCCATGTTGGAATCATTTTGACACTTGTTTAGAGCCTGTGGCTAGTGGATTAGGTTGGATCACGTCATTATGACTCGTATAGAATTTGTCAGTGGAATATAAAATATTGTATGTCAAAATTGGGTCAAGTAGTACACTGTGCCAGGATGATGGATCATCATCATGCTATATTCAGTGAATGACTTAATGAATTGGAGATCAATGATTGAATGTTACCGTAACACGACTTGACATTGAAGTGGGCATAGACAGCATGGAAATATGAAGTATTGCCTATAAAGAATATCGGTTCCTAAACAGTTATGGAGATGGAGGCTAGAAAGTTGTGATATCCCTGACATAGTTTAAATGGCATCACTTGAGAAAGGAGGTAGTAAAGATGATGCAGAAAGTTGTAGACAAATAGCTGTAACATAGGACTCTTTGAAAGAGTATTATAGAGTGGAAAGAAGTAAGATGAGGAAAAACATTGATTGAAAGTGTGTGCATAACATAGGCAACACCGGTTCAGAACAGGATGGAACAATAGGACATGGTGCGAGTCCATGGAAGAAAAAAAAGATGTTGATGTTATGAAGAGTATGTGGCTGTTTCTCTTACTAATTCCCCCCAATTGGAAGGGAAATGTTTGAGGGATAGTTTTTTGTATCCTGTAATGACAGGGGCAACTGGAAAATGGTGTTGTGTTGTGGCACCAATTATGGCTTGATGTTGTATACACTGAAGAGTTGGCAATGATTTTTCGGTAGGCTGGTATTTATTTTCCCTTTTGTATGAAGAAAGTTGTAAAATGTTTGAGTTAAATACTGAAAGGGCCTTAAATTGCTCAGAGTTGTGTGCTGGCGATACACAAAGCCATCCTCTGAAAATAACGTTGCTTTTCCCTTGTATGCACACTATGGGCAAAAAGACTTGATTTGAAATGAAAATGGTGTCCTTTCTGTTTTGGTTGTCGAGCTTAGTAGACACTTTAAAATAATGGTTTTAAACAAGAATATCTTGCCCTTATAATGTAGCAGGGGATCCTTAATGAACTGTTTAGAAGAAAAACTCTTCAATATATTTAAAGTATTGTTTAATTTGCAAATGACGTAAGTTTTGGGGCACATGGCTAAATTGAGACGTAATTTGTAAGAGGACGGGTTTGATACACACCTTGTGTATTTGTAATGTCTAAAGTAGAATATTTGTTTGAGATTTGCAGTGGTATCAGAGCTTCTGAATTTAATTGGTTCCCAGAGATGGTTCGTAAGGCAAGAATTTGTAAACTGAAGTGAAAAAAACCATAATAAATAATGGGTTTGACACTTGGGCAAAATAACATGAAAGTAAATGTTATACCTAATTCATGCAAGTATTTATTAGTTATTGCTTATCTTTCTTGATGACTTTTGTTGGTGAGGTGTTAGTGTTCGTAAGGGGAGTCCACTTCCATTATAACATGAGGCAGTGATGACCTCTTGGGGGGGGGGGGCTTAGGGGCATGGTTTGCCTGCATACCACTAGTACCTGGCTTGTTGTTTTTCTCATTTAAAAACGTGTCTTGTGACACTTGTTTTTTCATACGTTGTGAAACATTACGTTGTCATTAAAAAGGTTAACACAACGGCATACTCAAAGTTGGTGTGGGTGAATTAATAACAAAATAGGAACATAGTGTTGTTGATCTTTTTCCCACTCATAATGTCTTTGTTATTAGTGATTACAGTGCATATTGGAGACATAGAATTGTTGTACTGCCTAGGTAGTTTAATGGCTTTACCATATTTATGTTTAGAATCTTACCGTTGGCAAGATATATAATAACTGTTACATGAATTAAAATAGTGAATATCTTTACAAAAAATGAGGGACGATTGTCGGTGGTGGTGTCCGTAACATGACAGCCAAATGCATACGAAGAAATTTTGTACTGTGAATTGAATGATATGAAGAAATAGGGGCTGTAATGGAAAAAGTTTGTAAAGAAGGGCATTTGTAAGCTGAGGTGTGACTGTATTGTTGGGTTAAATAGCTGACTTGGTATAGTGTAAGATTGTCACTTACGTTTGATAACGTACATATTTGTATTAGAATTAGAAGGCTCCCTTTTGGTTTGTGTGTGTCTTAGCATACTTGTGGCACCTGTTTAGTTATGTAAGTGACCTGAACGTGGTAAAGGAGGCTTGTAGTTGTTTTATCAGTTGGACAGATGGGGGGGGGGGTCTAAGTGTGTTGTTGACCTGTGTAGGGTAGCAGCAGCATGTACAAGGCTGAAGTGTACTATATGATGTTATATGGCAATTGTGATAGTACCCTAATTAGTTTAGAATCATTTAATGTTAATTATCATGTAGTAGTTGAAAACCAACCAATTTATTGGAGCAAGTTGGGTGGCCATCATGTTTGTATAAAAGTGTGTGTTGACGCAGGAAGATAGCCTTGTAAGTGTGAAATCAATCATGGCTGTTGGCAGGGTTATGTCATTAGACGTGCGTACCATTATAACTGGTTATGTATTTGCCATAGATGTTTAAGTATTTGATTGAATGGTGAGCTTATTAAATTTAATATATGATTATCAGGGAGCTGGTGGCTGAGCAGACAGAACATGTGATCCTGGGTACCGGCGAGAAACAATGGGCATAGTTTCTTTCACCCTGATGCCCCTGTTACCTGGGAGTTTGTCATTGGGACACTAAGGCCTGAAATCATCAAGATGATAGTGATTTGTCCGTCAATAGAATGTGAATGCATTGATATAGGTGAGGTAATGCAAAATTATATTGGCATTGTGATGATATTTTAACTTAATAAATACTTATGGGTGCTGTTGCTTCTAGAGAAGGAATGAAATTGAATTGAAATAAGTTTATTGAGGTAAAATACACACAAAGGGATGAGGTAGCTCAAGCTATTCTCACCCCGTTGAGAAGGAATGTGTAATATCTGATTGTAGAGGGATATCAAAGGAGATAATTATGACGTAAGGAAAGTAGAGGTTATGTTGGGTAGAATAAGTATTTATATAAAAAGGGTATTGTGATGAAGTGCTGTATCCAAGCAGGATTAAATGGAAAAAGAGTATGTGGCAGATGCTTCTGTGAAGAGTAGGTGTTTGTACTATAATTGTAAATGTCATGTTCACATTGCTTTGGAGAAACCTGAAAGGATGCATAAATAAAAAAAAAACTATGGATATAAAGATTGTTTGTTATTTAATTGTACAAAATATATACAGGACTTTTATTACAACTATGGGCAGAAATTGATAGGATATTCAGGAAATGAAATAAATTCTGGGAAGGGCAAGACCTCTATGTACATTTTGTTGCCAGGTATGAGTGTTTAAGTGAAGACATCATTGTGTATAAATTGAGATAAGGTAGAATGTGTATAAACTGTTCAACATATGTTGATAATGAGTTACTTTTAATAGAGAGCACAAGTGTAATAGCATAGTTGAGGTTGGCCTTTTAGGTAGATATACATGGGTAGTAAATATAATGTTAGGTGCTTTAATACATTAAAGCTTATCTAATTGTTATAAATAGAAGGAGTTGTGAATATATAAATTGGTGGCATTAATGTCAAGTAGGATATGAGTGAATGGAATTGTGTGTTTTAGCTGTGGTTCCGCGGGTATTTGATTGATACTGTGTATGGGAGAAAGTAACGTTATGTGTATTGGCTATAAGTTGATTTTGAGGGAGAGAGAAGTGTGTTATTATGTGAAAGATAAAGTAAATCAGTAGGGCAAATTTTACACACAAGCAGGAGAATGTTGCTTAGGCATGTGTGTAATTACCTAAGTAATTACCTAAGTGTAGTTACAGGATGAGAGCTACGCTCGTGGTGTCCCGTCTTCCCAGCACTCTTTGTCATATAACGCTTTGAAACTACTGACGGTCTTGGCCTCCACCACCTTCTCACTTAACTTGTTCCAACCGTCTACCACTCTATTTGCGAAGGTGAATTTTCTTATATTTCTTCGGCATCTGTGTTTAGCTAGTTTAAATCTATGACCTCTTGTTCTTGAAATTCCAGGTCTCAGGAAGTCTTCCCTGTCGATTTTATCAATTCCTGTAACTATTTTGTATGTAGTGATCATATCACCTCTTTTTCTTCTGTCTTCTAGTTTTGGCATATTTAATGCTTCTAACCTCTCCTCGTAGCTCTTGCCCTTCAGTTCTGGGAGCCACTTAGTAGCATGTCTTTGCACCTTTTCCAGTTTGTTGATGTGCTTCTTAAGATATGGGCACCACACAACAGCTGCATATTCTAGCTTTGGCCTAACAAAAGTCATGAACAATTTCTTTAGTATATCGCCATCCATGTATTTAAATGCAATTCTGAAGTTAGAAAGCATAGCATAGGCTCCTTGCACAATATTCTTTATGTGGTCCTCAGGTGATAGTTTTCTATCTAGAACCACTCCTAGATCTCTTTCTTTATCAGAATTCTTTAAAGATTTCTCACATAATATATAGGTTGTGTGGGGTCTATGTTCTCCTATTCCACATTCCATAACATGACATTTATTAACATTAAATTCCATTTGCCAAGTGGTGCTCCATATACTTATTTTGTCCAGGTCTTCTTGAAGGGCATGACAGTCATCTAAATTTCTTATCCTTCCTATTATCTTAGCATCATCAGCAAACATGTTCATATAATTCTGTATACCAACTGGTAGATCATTTATGTACACAATAAGCATCACTGGTGCAAGAACTGAACCCTGTGGTACTCCACTTGTGACATTTCTCCATTCTGATACATTGCCTCTGATTACTGCCCTCATTTTTCTATCAGTCAGAAAATTTTTCATCCATTATGTGTAAATGACACATAATGTTGACAAGTTGTTTTTTTTAGATCTTAAGTGAATGGTATTGCGTATCAGTAGGGAAATGACTTGATACGAAGTATTACAGCTGTGGTTAATAAATTGAGCTTGTCCCTTCCCCAGCAATATGAAAGAAATAGTGCAGGGCTTGAAAGTACATGCATATTGTTACTTGCTATATGTTTATATATAGTGTATAAATTATTTTCAGACACTGAAGGGCAACCCAGAAGTAATTGACATGGGAGGTGTGTAATGTTTTAGATTGATGAAAAGCTAATTTGTGAAATGTGTAGAACAGTATCACAGTATCATGTTTTAATAATGGAAGCTGGGGCTAGCACATGGGATTGTGTGTGTATGTTGAACAGCACCCAACAAGACACATGAGTGAGGGCCAATACATGTTTTCTCAATGTAGAAAGTTGTTGATATAGTATGATGAATGAGGTATAGATTATGAAATTTGTCCCCACTAGTATAGCACAGGAAATGTAGTGTGTAAAGATTGATTGCGACTTGTGGATTAGAATGGACATTTTTGATGTACTTTTGTCATTTATATACATGTAATGACTAAAGATACAAGTGAGGTTGTGTAAAGAAATGTAGTATTTATATACATACATGGTCCTCGTTTGACTATGGCAACACCTTTAGAATTGATGTTTATGAAAGGCTTAGAAGCTTGATGTACAGAAAAATTTCATATATATCTTTTGTTAAAAAGAAATGTAAACAGTTAGATGTTGGGAGAAAAGAATGCAGTCAGTTATAGACGATTATGTGTAATGTAGTGGCAGAAAATGGGTGTTTAGAATGGCAAAGCATTGTAGTATAAATTGTGATGAGTAATAGAATGAATTAGACATGATTGGTTTTAAGAAAAGTTGTATGCAAGGGAGTTTAAAATAAGGTCAGAATGTTGTTTGTATTGAATACTAATGATTGATATGTTGCCGAAGAGAGCCAGAAAGAATAGTGAATAAAAAAGATAACGGTAGTTACTCGTGTGGGCCCCTCTTTTTTTTTTGTTATGCAACTGTTTAAGTGGCAAGAAATTGTGAATCTCAGGCCTCTTAGTAATAGGCTGTTTAAATGGCTGAAGTGTGTAAGTAAAAGATTGTTTTGAGTTGTGTAGCTGATGAATATCTTGCACAATAAGACACTTGTTTCAAACGGGCGAATCTGTTATATATAGTTGTCAGCCTTCTAAGAAATATCATATAGTTAAGGCTAGGGAAGCAACATTAGTAGGTTTGTTCTTTTTTTAATAAATGTAATTTGTTTCAACAGATTGTATGAGCGTACAACGTGAACAGTAGCACTGAGGAATTGTTTTTAGACATAACCTCGATGATGAAGATGTCTTAAGGTGACACGAGTTTAGCATGAAGGACTACAGATTATATCACAAAACTAATTGACATGTGTTGTATCATATGATAAATATATGTCAAAGCTGGTCTATTTACAAGTAGGTAACACACATATTTGATGTATAAATGTACTGTAGTAGAATGTGATACATATGACTTACAGTAGAAATGTGTTGTTAAATAGTAAATGAGCTTGTACATATAATATACATTGTCATAATCAGGTTGATAGGGTAAAGTTTAAAAAAATATGGCTGCTAGTAAGAAGCCTGTATGTTTAATGACATATGAAAATACATATATATTTGGTATTGGTGAAAACATTAGTTAGTTTTGTAAATATTTGTCTTAGAGTTTGGATTGAAGAGGCAATAACTGAGGTCAAAGGTGAGCTAGGACGGATATTTCAGCATCACTGGAGGTGGGTTGAGATGATGGTGTAATGTAATTTGAACCTGATACTGTGACAACAACAGCATCGGAACCAATGACTTGTGATGAATCTGTAGTCTGTACAATGGTAACGGTATTGTCGTCTTTACGACACTCTTTCTTGGCCGGTGGTATTGAGGAATGCTCCTCCATGACGGCTAGCTTTTCTCTCTGTAGTAGCTGCGCAGCACGTAGTGAACCTTGTTGTGAAGGTGGTGCCGCAGTAGAATATATAGAGTCGTGGGAGAGGAATGATAAGCACGAGGGATCCCTTGAGTGTGCAATGGAGGCGCCTGCTGGATGAGATGAGGGCATGGCGTCAGGGTTTTGTGACACAGAGCCTTCTCTAGACCGATAACTCGGGGGATGACTATAGTTGCTCTCTCGACCCAGTGTGTTGACTGTTAATCTGATATAAAGAGAATAATATGAGTAAAAGGTAATTGGTGTGTGAAATAGGACAGATATACATATGTATGTTTTAGTACAATGGGTAAATAGTATAACATGGCAAACACAGTAGTAAATAAACAAATTTACTAACCCTCTAAGATTATGAGGGCCAGATCGATAGGTTGGGGGTGGTGACGGTGCTTGAGGATTTGCAGTGTGTCCCTGGTGCCGATCTAATAGTAGCAACCGCAGCCTGTATTCTTGCATTGAAGCTTGGTAACTCGGAGGTGGAGGACGGTACTGGAATTCTGGGTACATCATTGCTGAAATTAGTTGATAGTATAAATTGTATAACCAATGGCAGGAAGTAATATTGCTTGTGATAGTTATGTATTTGATATGACACTTTGATGTATGGTTAGACTGAATATAGTTTCACATATTAAATAACAGGATAATGTTATTAATGGATAACAGGATAATGTTATAATAAAGTGCACACAGATGTAGTCTGTAAAGGGGGGGCGGGGGACATGGTTCCTGTATTGTTTTTGTTAACCATGTGTATAAAATGCATAGTGTTTCATTATATGTTATGTTAGCATATAAAGAAATGATATTTAAATGAAAATGTGAACAAGGCTGAAAAAAAGTACTTATGGGTTAGTCTACAAAATATATAAAAAATACTTGAATTAAGCACCCTGATATCATATGGTTCATGGGCATTGCTTTAATAATGAGTTGCACACGTCTCATAGACGTTGTTACATGTAATGTAACACTACATTAGCTACATGTAATGCAGGAAATATAACATTTAGACAGAAATCACATATATAATATGTCTTTCTTGTTCTCTGTTACTGTCCTTTCTCTTTGATAATGTCTAGTCTTCAGTGGAATATTCGTGGGTTTTATGGCAACTTCTAATTACAGTTTACACCACTTTGTGTTTGTCTCCAGGAACCGTAGCTTGGTGCTGGTCCTGGTCACTTTCGTGGTTATTCCTTTCTTTCTTCCCCCCCCCCCCCCAGCTCTTGCTGGGGCCCATAACTCTACTGCTCTCTTAATTCGTTCTGATATTCCATTGTTCTGCTGCCCATGTTTTTGTGGGTAAATGGTATACTTTCATACTGGTAAATGGCTACTTTCGCTACTTTGTAGCCCAAAATTGGGCTACTTTCGCTACTTTTTAGGCCAAAATTGGGCTACTTTTGCTACTTTGTAGCCCAAAATTTTGCTACTTTGTAGCCCAAAATTGGGCTACTTTCGCTACTTTTTAGCACACATATGGGCTACTTTCGCTACTTTTTAGCCCAAAATTGGGCTACTTTTAGCCCAAAATTTTTCTACTTTCGCTACTTTTTAGCCCAAAATTTCACTACTTTTTAGGCCAAAATTGGGCTACTTTCGCTACTTTTTAGGCCAAAATTGGGCTACTTTCGCTACTTTTAGCCCAAAATTTTTCTACTTTCGCTATTTTTTAGCCCAAAATTTCGCTACTTTTTAGCCCAAAATTGGGCTACTTTCGCTACTTTTAGGCCAAAATTGGGCTACTTTCACTACTTTTTAGGCCAAAATTAGGCTACTTTCGCTACTTTTTAGGCCAAAATTGGGCTACTTTCGGTACTTTGTAGCCCAAAATTGGGCTACTTTCGCTACTTTTTAGGCCAAAATTAGGCTACTTTCGCTACTTTTTAGGCCAAAATTGGGCTACTTTTGCTTTATAGCCCAAAATTGGGCTACTTTTAGCCCAAAATTGTGCTACTTTTTAGCCCAAAATTGGGCTACTTTCGCTACTTTTAGCCCAAAATTTCGCTACTTTGTAGCCCAAAATTTCGCTACTTTGTAGCTTAAAATTGGGCTACTTTTGCTACTTTTTAGGCCAAAATTGGGCTACTTTCGCTACTTTGTTGCCCAAAATTGGGCTACTTTCGCTACTTTTTAGCCCAAAACTTCGCTTTTTAGTTCAAAATTGGGCTACTTTCGCTACTTTTTAGCCCAAAATTGGGTTACTTTCGCTACTTTTTAGCCCAAAATTGGGCTACTTTCGCTACTTTTAGCTAAAAATTGCTACTTTCACTACTTTGTAGCCCAAAATTTCGCTACTTTTTAGCCTAAAATTGGGCTACTTTCGCTACTTTTTAGGCCAAAAATGGGTTACTTTCGCTACTTTTTAGGCCAAAATTAGGCTACTTTCGCTACTTTGTTGCCCAAAATTGAGCTACTTTGTAGCCCAAAATTGGGCTACTTTCGCTACTTTTTAGGCCAAAATTGGGCTACTTTTGCTACTTTTTAGCCCGAAATTGGGCTACTTTCGCTACTTTTTAGGCCAAAATTGGGCTATTTTCGCTACTTTTTAGGCCAAAATTGGGCTATTTTCGCTACTTTTTAGGCCAAAAATGGGCTACTTTCCCTACTTTGTAGCCCAAAATTGGGCTACTTTCAGCCCCAAATTTCGCTACTTTTAGCCCAAAATTTCGCTACTTTTGCTACTTTTTAGCCCAAAATTTCGCTACTTTTTAGCTTAAAATATCGCTACTTTTTAGCCCAAAATTTCGCTACTTTTAGCCCAAAATTTTGCTACTTTTGCTACTTTTTAGCTCAAAATTTCGCTACTTTTTAGCCAAAATTTCGCTACTTTTTAGTCCAAAATTTCGCTACTTTTAGCTAAAAATTTTGCTACTTTGTAGCCCAAAATTTCGCTACTTTCTCGCCCAAAATTGGGCTACTTTTTAGCCCAAAATTGGGCTACTTTCGCTACTTTTTAGGCCAAAATTGGGCTACTTTGTAGCCCAACATTGCGCTACTTTGTAATTAAAAATTAAGCTACTTTTGCTACTTTTTAGGAAGAAAATGGGCTACTTTCGCTACTTTTTAGCCCAAAATTTCGCTACTTTTAGCCCAAAATTTCGCTACTTTTGCTACTTTTTAGCCCAAAATTTCGCTACTTTTGCTACTTTTTAGCCCAAAATTTCGCTACTTTCTCGCCCAAAATTGGGCTACTTTCACTACATTTTAGGCCAAAAATGGGCTACTTTTCAGGCCAAAATTGGGCTACTTTCGCTACTTTTTAGCCCAAAATTGGGCTACTTTCGCTACTTTTTAGCCCAAAATTGGGCTACTTTCGCTACTTTTTAGGAAAAAAATGGGCTACTTTTGCTACTTTTTAGCCCAAAATTTTGCTACCTTCGCTACTTTTTAGGAAAAAAATGGGCTACTTTTAGCCCAAAATTTCGCTACTTTTTAGCCCAAAATTTCGCTACTTTCTCGCCCAAAATTGGGCTACTTTCACTACATTTTAGGCCAAAAATGGGCTACTTTTCAGGCCAAAATTGGGCTACTTTCGCTACTTTTTAGCCCAAAATTGGGCTACTTTCGCTACTTTTTAGCCCAAAATTGGGCTACTTTCGCTACTTTTTAGGAAAAAAATGGGCTACTTTTGCTACTTTTTAGCCCAAAATTTTGCTACCTTCGCTACTTTTTAGGAAAAAAATGGGCTACTTTTAGCCCAAAATTTCGCTACTTTGTAGCCCAAAATTGAGCTACTTTCGCTACTTTGTAGCCCAAAATTCGGCTGCTTTCGCTACTTTTTAGGCCAAAATTGGGCTACTTTTTAGCTCACATATGGGCTACTTTCGCTACTTTTAGCCCAAAATTTCGCTACTTTCGCTACTTTTTAGCCCAAAATTGGGCTACTTTCGCTACTTTTTAGCCCAAAATTGGGCTACTTTCGCTACTTTTCAGGCCAAAATTGGGCTACTTTCGCTACTTTGTAGCCCAAAATTGGGCTACTTTAGCTACTTTTTAGCCCAAAATTGGGCTACTTTTGCTACTTTTTAGCCCAAAATTGGGCTACTTTTGCTACTTTCTAACCCAAAATTTCGCTACTTTTACTACTTTTTAGCCCCAAATTTCGCTACTTTTAGCCCAAAATTTCGATACTTTTTAGCTTAAAATATCGCTACTTTTTAACCCAAAATTTCGCTACTTTTGATACTTTTTAGCCCAAAATTTCGCTACTTTTTAGCTCAAAATTTTGCTACTTTCACTACGTTTAGCCCAAAATTTTGCTACTTTTTAGCCCAAAATTTCGCTACTTTTCAGCCCAAAATTTCGCTACTTTTCAGCAAAAAATTTTGCTACTTTTTAGCCCAAAATTGGGCTACTTTCGCTACTTTTCAGGCCAAAATTGGGCTACTTTTTAGGCCAAAATTGGGCTACTTTCGCTACTTTTTAGGCCAAAATTGGGCTACTTTTGCTACTTTGTAGCCCAAAAATGGGCTACTTTCGCTACTTTTTAGGCCAAAATTGGGCTACTTTCGCTACTTTTTACGCGAAAATTGGGCTACTTTCGCTACTTTTTATGCCAAAATTGGGCTACTTTCGCTACTTTTTAGGCCAGCGCGATTTTCGCCACTAGCGACCAAAAATCGCCCCATTTTTGGCCGCTAGCGGCGAAAATAGCCCATTTTTGCCGCTAGCGGCGAAAATCGGTCGATTTTTGGCAGGTAGCGGCGAAATTCGCGCGATTTTTGCCCGCCAGCTGCAAAAATCGCATGGTTTCTGGCCGCAAGCGTCGAAAATAGCGCGGTTTTTGGCCGTTAGCGGCAAAAATCGCCGATTTTTGGCCGCTAGCGGAGAAAATCGCACGGTTTTTGGCCGCTAGCGGTGAAAATCGCGCTATTTTTGGGCGATAGCGGCAAAAAATTGCGTTTTTTGCCCGCCAGCTGCGAAAATCGTACGATTTTTGGCCGCTAGCGGCGAAATTTGTACGATTTTTGACCGCTAGCGGCTTAAATCGCCCGATTTTTGGCCGCTAGCGGCGAAATCCGCGATTTTTGCCCGCCAGATGCGAAAATCGCATGGTTTTTGGCCGGTAGCGGCGAAAATCGCGCGGTTTTTTGCCGGTAGCGGCGAAAATCGCGCTATTTTTGCCCGCCAGCTGCAAAAATCGCATAGTTTCTGGCCGCTAGCTGCGAAAATCGCGCGATTTTTGGCCGCTAGCGGCAAAATTCGCACGATTTTTGGCCACTAGCGGCGAAATTTGCACGATTTTTGGCCGCTAGCGGCTTAAATCGCCCCATTTTTGGCCGCTAGCGGCGAAAATAGCCCCTTTTTTCGCCGCTAGCTGCGAAAATCGGTCGATTTTTGGCAGGTAGCGTCGAAATTTGCGCGACTTTTGCCCGCCAGCTGCAAAAATCGCATGGTTTCTGGCCGCTAGCGTCGAAAATAGAGCGGTTTTCGGCCGCTAGCGGCGAAAATCGCACGGTTTTTGGCCGCTAGCGGCGAAAATCGCGCTATTTTTGGCTGGTAGCGGCGAAAATCACGATTTTTGCCCGCCAGCTGCGAAAATCTCATGGTTTTTGGCCGCATGCGGCGAAAATCGCGCGGTTTTTGGCCGGTAGCGGCAAAAATCGCGCTATTTTTGCCCGCCAGCTGCAAAAATCGCATAGTTTCTGGCCGCTAGCGGCAAAATTCGCACGATCTTTGGCCACTAGCGGCGAAAATCAGTCGATTTTTGCCAGCTAGCGTCGAAAATAGCGCGGTTTTCGGCCGTTAGCGGCAAAAATCGCCCGATTTTTGGCCGCTAGCGGCGAAAATCGCACGGTTGGGGAGGCATACTCTCTCACCCATCGCGGGAGAGCGTGCAGAGATCCTTTACTGCTAAAAATCCAATCAGTAAAACATCTAAACTATTGGGACCAACTAAAAAGCCTAAATCTGTATTCTCTTGAGCGCAGGCGGGAAAGATACATAATACAAATGTATACGTGGAAATTATTGGAGGGGCTGATCCCAAACCTGCACACAGAAATGAGACCAGAAGGCATGGCAGAATGTGCAGAATACCCCCATTGAAAAGCAGAGGTGCAACAGGTACTCTGAGAGAGAACTATCAAGATCAGAGGCCCGAGACTTTTCAACACGCTTCCACTACACATAAGTGGCCGACCTCTCGCAGTGTTCAAGAGAGAACTGGATAAACACCTCCAAAGGATACCTGATCAACCAGGCTGTGATTCATACGTCAGGCTGCAAGCAGCCGCGTCACCTGCTTGATGGCGTTCTGGGAGTTGTTTTACTCCCCAAGCCCAGTCTGAGGCCAGGCTTGACTTGTGACAGTTTGGTCCACCAGGCTGTTGCTTGGACCGGCCCACATACCTATCACAGCCTGGTTGGTCCGGCACTCCTTGAAGAAAACAATCTAGTTTTCTCTTGAAGATGTCCACGGTTGTTCCGGCAATATTTCTGATGCTTGCTGGTAGGACTGAACAACCGCGGACCTCTGATGTTTATACAGTGTTCTGTGATTGTGCCTATGGCACCTCTGCTCTTCACTGGTTCTACATTTTCTTCCATATCGTTCACTCCAGTACATTGTTATTTTTGGGATCACACGTTTTGGGATCACGTTCGCCCATTTTTGCATCATGTCCGGCACATATTCATCTACTACTATTGCTCACCTGTTCCTATACTTACACTTTTACCCTACTTGACCCACAACGTCCCACATGCCGCAACCCGCCCCACACCATGTGGGAGCACCCCTCCTCCCTCCCTCTCTCACACTATCAACTTGTTGATGTATACCTCCCCCCTGGTTGATACCTGGTTGATGGGGTTCTGGGAGTTCTTCTACTCCCCAAGCCCGGCCCGAGGCCAGGCTCGACTTGTGAGAGTTTGGTCCACCAGGCTGTTGCTTGGAGCGGCCCGCAGGGCCACGTACCCACCACAGCCCGGCTGATCCGGAACTTCTCTTGGAAAATCGTCCAGTTTACTCTTTAAGATGTCCACGGTTGTTCCGTCCCCTCCCCATTAATTATCCCACCATACCCTCTTTCCCCTACACACATACACACACACATTCTACCTACATGACCCACAACGTCCCATACTTTTTACCCCTGTGACCCACAACGTCCCCCCCCCCTCCCCCCTGATGCAACCCGTCCCAATCTACCGACTCCCACACCCAATTTTGACTGGAACAGAGTTCGATCCCTGAGGTTCTCCTCGGGGAGGGGACGGTTCTAGTCACATATCTCGCTACTTACATCTTACCTCATAAACAATCAAGAGGCTCACCTGCGTATGGGTGATGGGGTCGGCCGAAGGCGGGTGCCATACGAGCCATGAATCTCCGAGGTGGTTCTCCGCGCGCAGGGTCGTGCAGTGCCAGACCCAGCATGACCCTACACGGGGCATCACGAGAAGTCAAGTGCCACGCTACTCCTGACACCGTGATCAACACGATACCCACACCTGCAATACAACAACACACACAGTTACACGTTCTTAACAATAGGCTCAAGAGACAATTGCCTGCCTTCTGGGAGACATGTCCACTTATGGGTTCCTAAAGCATGCGAGAAACTTTTTTTCCGAAACCAGACACCCAAGAACCGCTAGTCTTCTGTTACAGGGCATCTCATATCCTCTCCTGGTATGGTATCTGTGTGGTAATCCACAGGTAAATATGGCTGTATTGACCCATCTTATTCCCATATTTTAGCATGTTGTTGTTTTAGATTCAGCTATTAGGAACAAAAGTTCCAAGTAGCACGGGCTATGGTGAGCCCGTAGTGGCCTTCCCTGCCACAGGAGCGAGGCTTAACTGTCTTTTAGCAGCTGGGAATAAGTTTATGAACATTATTTGAAAATATATGTATCTTGCATTATGTAACACAACTCTATACATCAAATACTAAAATATAGGGGTAACAAAATCAACACATTCAAGGAGAAACCAGCTCAAATTGTACTACGAAAGGAACCCAGATAAAGCAATCTTGTAACTTATACTGAAATACCTGGCTCCATATATGTATCTATCTGGATTGAGGTTTCGTGAATTCTACTACTCCCGAAGCCAGGCTTGATTTGTCACAGCTTGGTCCAAACATAAATTTATTATTTATTGTGGCTTAGAGCGGCCCGCAAGTCCACATATCCACTACAGCCCGCTTGGTCAGACAAATCTTTCCAGTTTTCTCTTCAAGACATTCACTTTTGTTCCACCAATATTTCTTATACTTGATATTTAACAACTCTGCCCGTCTTATATTCATGCACATTGTACCTATGACAACTATACTCTTCACAGCCACTATTCTGCATTTCCTTCCAGTATGTTGTTCTTTTACTGACAACAAACTTAGGACCTGACCTTCCGTGTATAGATTATTGCATTACTCTCCTCCCCTTTCTAGCGGGTACTCTTTGAGATGCTCCCAACAGTTTAGCTTCTTGTTTGTGTCTATGTATGCCGTATATGTTCTCTGTATTCCCTCTTTTTCAGACTCTCCTGCTCTGAAGGGGGAAGAGGAGAGTATGGAGCAATACTCAAGGTTAGACAACACCAGTCATTTCAATAGTATGATTCCACCCAATTAATATTCGCCCTTAACATTACGCCGTCAGACATCATTATTTCCACCAGGTCCTGTACATGTTATCTACCTATTATGGGCACATTTAAGGTTTTCTACTCTGTATTCGACTACGGGCTCACCATAGCCCGTGCTACTTGAAACTTTTGTTCCTAGTAGCTGCATCTAAAACAACAACACTCTGTATTTTCTTCAACCTCGTAATTTTTACCCTACCTGATATTTATCACTCTTAATTTAAACATTATGGTATTTTCTACTGTCCAGCCGAAAGCCTTATTAATATCTCCTAATTTTTCAATGTCTTCTTCACAAGTCATTTTCATGCTGGCTGAATTGTGTCATCTGCAAAAGGGGACAGTAAGCTTGTGTGTATATGATATGGGAATGAGGACAAGCGCTGTTGCAAGGACTCTGACCTCAGATAAACATGACCTTTTCACTGTCTCTGTTTTACTGCAGCTAAACATCTGGAAAGAAATGCAAAATCTAGTCACTGTAGAGCAGTGTGACGACGACCCGCCGGACCACACGGGTCGTCATAAATATATGGCCCTGTGGCCCGCTACATGCAACAACAGCCTAGCAGATCAACTTCTCAAAATACAACCATGATTCTTGGCAAGGGTTGAGGAGACCAACACATGGAAACCGACAATAGGTACAAGATTTACACCCCTACATTTCACTGGACTTATTTTGCACATTCTAACATCTTAAGGCATTAATTAAAGGTCCAGATTGCGAACTCTTAACATTTTCTCTGATATATATTTATTATTTCTCTTGCCTGCGTTCCAATGAGAATTATTTGAGCAATTTTAAATCATTTACTCGGGCTCACCATAGCCCGTGCTACTTTGAACTTTTTGTTCCATGTAGCGAATCTTGAACAACAACATAAATTATTTATTTCTTGTGGATACGAACACAAGATGCTGTCAGGTCTATATTTTATTTTGTTGATCAACTGTGAGGTGGATTAGCAGTGAAGATGTGATGCATATACTAGTTCTTTCTTATGAAGCTTGTGTGTAGTGAAAGTAATGATGTCGGTGTGTGGTTGGTAGGTAGGTGGAGGTGCAGTTAACTGACCACATCCGCCTGGACACTGTGTAGGCCGGAAGTGTCTATGATCCTGTGTCTGGCTCCCTCACTCCCTGCTCCAGACACCACCACCACCACACTCCCTGCTCCAGACACCATCACCACCACACTCCCTGCTCCAGACACCACCACCACACTCCCTGCTCCAGACACCACCACCACCACACTCCCTGCTCCAGACACCATCACCACCACACTCCCTGCTCCAGACACCACCACCACACTCCCTGCTCCAGACACCATCACCACCACACTCCCTGCTCCAGACACCATCACCACCACACTCCCTGCTCCAGACACCACCACCACCACACTCCCTGCTACAGACACCATCACCACCACACTCCCTGCTCCAGACACCACCATCACCACCACACTCCCTGCTCCAGACACCATCACCACCACACTCCCTGCTCCAGACACCACCACCACCACACTCCCTGCTCCAGACACCACCACCACCACACTCCCTGCTCCAGACACCACCACCACCACACTCCCTGCTACAGACACCACCACCACCACACTCCCTGCTACAGACACCACCACCACCACACTCCCTGCTCCAGACACCACCACCACCACACTCCCTGCTACAGACACCACCACCACCACACTCCCTGCTACAGACACCACCACCACCACACTCCATGCTCCAGACACCACCACCACCACACTCCCTGCTCCAGACACCATCACCACCACACTCCCTGCTCCAGACACCATCACCACCACACTCCCTGCTCCAGACACCACCACCACACTCCCTGCTCCAGACACCATCACCACCACACTCCCTGCTCCAGACACCACCACCACCACACTCCCTCCACTAGACACCACCACCACCACCACACTCCCTCACACTAGACACCACCACCACCACCACACTCCCTGCTCCAGACACCACCACCACCACCACACTCCCTGCTCCAGACACCATCACCACCACACTCCCTGCTCCAGACACCACCACCACCACCACACTCCCTGCTCCAGACACCACCACCACCACCACACTCCCTGCTCCAGACACCACCACCACCACACTCCCTGCTCCAGACACCACCACCACCACACTCCCTGCTCCAGACACCACCACCACCACACTCCCTGCTCCAGACACCACCACCACCACACTCCCTGCTCCAGACACCACCACCACCACACTCCCTGCTCCAGACACCACCACCACCACACTCCCTGCTCCAAACACCACCACCACCACCACACTCCCTGCTCCAGACACCACCATCACCACCACACTCCCTGCTCCAGACACCACCACCACACTCCCTGCTCCAGACACCACCACCACCACACTCCCTGCTCCAGACACCACCACCACCACCACACTCCCTGCTCCAGACACCACCACCACCACACTCCCTGCTCCAGACACCTTTCTTGAGGTTATCTTGAGATGATTTCGGGGCTTAGCGTCCCCGCGGCCCGGTCCTCGACCAGGCCTCCTTTTTGTTACACATCCCCCAGGAAGCAGTCCGTAGCAGCTGTCTAACTCCCAGGTACCTATTTACTGCTAAGTGAACAGGAGCATCAGGGTGAAATAAACTCTGCCCATTTGTCTCCGCCTCCACCGGGGAACGAACCCGGAACCTCTGGACTATGAATCCGAAGCGCTGTCCACTCAGCTGTCAGGCGCCGTAAATGCTTCACCCACGTACTACAAATACAAATAATCGCCCACAGAACCTAAACACCTAATCAGTGCCTAAATATATACAATGATATTTTATATTTGAGAAAATTACTGTTTTGAATGAACAGCATGTACAAATTTATGAATGCGTCTTGGGGGTCGACCTCTAGATGGAATGGTCTTGGTCTGAAGCCGGGTTGTAAAAGAATACCTGATCAACCAGCCTGTGATTCATACGTCACGCTCCGAGCAGCGTCTAACGGCCCGATTTATCAACGCAAGAGATATCCGAGTCATCTAGAGTTGCTATTTCGCTATTGACATTTAATTAAGTAGGAAATACATTTAATGGGTCGATCTATCGGCCAATGAGCCTAATATCTATCTGTAACTGCCTCCAAAAATGAATTAATCTTGAGGAGATTCCAAGATCAATGAGCATGGGGGGGGCGGGGGAGTCTGACAGCTGAATGGACAGCGCTCGGGATTCGTAATCCTGAGGTTCCTGGTTTGATCCCCGGCGGAGACAAATGGGCAGAGTTTCTTTCACCCTGATGCCCCCTGTTCACCTAGCAGTAAATAGGTACCTGGGAGTTAGACAGCTGCTACGGGCTGCTTCCTGGGAATGTGTAACAAAAAGGAGGCCTGGTCGAGGACCGGACCGCGGGGACGCTAAGCCCCGAAATTATCTCAAGATAACATGCGGCCCGGTCTCGGACGACGCCTCTTCAACTATCTGGGGCCAGATTCACGAAGCAGTTACGCAAGCACTTACGAACCTGTTCATCTTTTCTCAATCTTTGGCAGCTTTGTTTACAATTATTAAACAGTTAATGAGCTCCGAAGCACCAGGAGGCTGTTTATAACAATAACAACAGTTGATTGGCAAGTTTTCATGCTTGTAAACTGTTTAATAAATGTAACCAAAGCCGTCAAAGATTGAGGAAAGATGTACACATTCGAAAGTGCTTGTGTAACTGCTTTCGTGAATCTGGCCCCAGGCTGTTGGACGCGCAGCCTAACGTATGAATCACAGCCTGGTTGATCAGGTATCATTTGGAGGTGTTGATCAAGTTTTCACTTGAACACTGTCAACTTCCTTTAAT